AAGTGCGAATGGGACGTTCCCAAAGTCGACTACGTCGGCTATGTGTTCGGTGGCGATGAGGTGGCGATGGATCCCGCGAAGCTGAAAGGAATTAATGAGTGGCCGGTACCCCAGAACAAAAAGGACGTTCAGAAGTTCCGGGGGTTTGGCAATTTCTACTGCCGCTTCATCAAAGACTTCGCCAAGATCTCGCGACCACTCGACCGGCTCATAGGGAATGACCCCTGGCACTGGGGTGAAGAGGAGCAACGTGCATTTGACGAGCTCAAGCGACTTTTCGGCACAACCCCTGTGCTGGCGCTGTACGATCCCCATCGGGAAACGCGCATCGAAGTCGATGCCTCGGGATATGCCACTGGCAGTGTGCTGATGCAGAAGCAGGACGATGGCAAATGGCATCCCGTCGCCTTCCGATCCCATGCCATGGACTCAGCTCAGCGTAACTATGAGATCTACGACAAGGAGATGCTCGTGATCATTGAGGCACTTGACGATTGGTGTCACTATCTCAAGGGGTTGCCCAATCAGTTCGAGATCGTTACCGATCACAAGAACCTCGAGTACTGGCGCACGTCACAGCATCTCACACGTTGTCAAGCGCGATGGTCGCTATTCCTGGCACGCTTCGACTTCCGCATCATGCATAAGGCTGGAACATCGAATGGAAAGGCTGATGCCCTGTCACGCCGATCAGACCATCAGGTTGGAGATGAGGATGATAACACTGATCAGGTGGTCCTCAAACAGGAACACTTCCGCATCGCCTCCACCTGTCGTGGGCATGCTTCGGTGACAGCTGATCAGTCGCTCCTGAAACGCATCAGGGAATGTTCGGAGAAGGATCGGGCAGTGGCCGAGGCACTAGAAAAGGTGCAGAACCTCGGGCCGCCTCAGCTATAGAAGGGTTTCGAGGAGTGGAATGCCGAGCAAGGGCTTCTGCTGTTCCGCGGGATGGTCTATGTCCCCAAGAACACGGAGCTCCGGTGGGATATTGTCAAGATCCACCATGACTCGCCAATCACTGGTCATGGCGGTCATGCCAAAACCCTCGAGCTCATATCACGGAACTACTGGTGGCCTGGGATGTCCAAGTTTGTCAATGAGTACGTAAGCACCTGCGATGTGTGCAACCATACCAAGACATTCCCTGCTAAGCCCCAGGGTCCGCTGAAGCCAAATGAGATCCCCGAGCGCCCATGGCAGATCATCACCACCAATATGATCGTTGGCCTGCCGAAGTCTGATGGATTCGATTCGATCCTGGTCACCGCCGACCACTTTACCAAGCAGGTCCACTTCTCGGTCTGTCATGAGACCCTGACAGCAAAAGGTGTGGCAGACCTGTACATCCGCGATGTGTTCAAACATCATGGGGCCCCGGCCAAGGTCATATCAGACCAAGGTCCCCAATTTGCATCAAAGTACCTTCATGCGGTGTACAAGGGACTGGGAATCAAGCCGGCGCTGTCCACAGCATTCCATCCTCAGACCGATGGCCAGACTGAGCACTGGAATCAGGAGATCGAGCAGTACCTGCGTGCTTTCACAAGCCACAGGCAGGATGATTGGGCAAAGCAGTTGCCGCTTGCGGAATTTGCGCTGAACAATCGAGTTCACTCCGCGACCGGGCACTCCCCTTTCTTCCTGCATCAAGGGTACCATCCTAAGATCCAAGTGCGGATCAATCCGATGTCCGCGATGCCTGCAGCCACTGATCGGCTGAAGATCCTGAAGGAGATCCGGGATGATGCACGCTCCGCGCTGGAGCTATCAGCCGAATGAATGAAAGTGTACTACGACAAGCACGTGCAGGAGGCACCAGTCTTTGCACCGGGGGACAAGGTCTGGCTGGATGCTCGGAACCTTAAGCTGAAACAGCCGAGCAAGAAGCTCAGTCCCAAGCGCCTCAGACCATATGCCGTGTGGCGAAAGCTCGGAGACTTGGATTATGAATTAGTCCTGCCGAAGTCGGTGCCGGTGCACCCGGTATTCCATGTCTCCTTGCTTAGCAAGTACACACGCAGCGATATCCCGGGCTGGGAGCCGGAGGAACCGCCTGCAATCGAGGTTGAAGGCGACGAGGAGTACGAGGTTGAGCGGATTAAGGATTCCAGGATCTTCCGGCGTCAGCTGCAGTACCTCATCAAGTGGAAAGGCTATGACGACTCACATACATCATGGGAACCAGTGCGCAATGTTGCCAATGCGCCGGACCTCATAGCCGACTTCCACCAGAAGAATCCGAATGCCCCACACCGCCTCAATGCTGCTATCTTTGGTGGTCTCAACTTTCAGCCAATGCCTTTGCCGCTGACTGAAGCACACTGCCGCTCCGGATGGGAGATGGGCCGGGGGGCCTCACATGAGGTCATGCGCCGTTGAGGGGGGGGTAATGTCACGAGTTGGTATGGTGTCTAGCCGTTTTTTAATTTTTTCCTTTCCGTGGGCTCGAACCCGTGACCTCTGTACTACATGCTTGAATGGACAAGTCCTTATCTACTGTACGATTAGATTAGATGGGATGGCAGTGCGCGGCACAGCTCGGGCTCCGCTGACACAGCCGCTCTGACTCACCGGCCCCCAGGGCTGCGTCAGCATGCTGCGCACAGACCAGCTGTGCACGGACCAGTGTGCACAGCCTCCCCTAAACCTCCCCTGTATATAAACCTGCCTCTGCTGCCCTAGGGACCTCAGTTTCGACCTCTTGTCCCTAGGTCAGTAAGCCCCTGTACATACTTACCTTCCTATGCTAACTTACTTGTCCCTAGCCTTAGGTTTGAGCGTTGCTCACCATCGCTTCGGTGAGAATCAGTCGAACACCCCCAGCCTCTAGGTTTGTTCTTCCCCTGTCGCTTGACCTCAAGTCGCGACACTGTAGCCCGGTAGTCACATAGACATATTGGGCTCTGTAGGCACACGTAGACACAGATGGATCCCGATTGCCGTCATTACATCACGCAGCCTAGATCTAGTTTCATGCTTGGTAATATCATATTATTGCCAGACATACTGAGTTGAACCAGAAATATGAATCAAATTGTGTGTATTTTCATTGCGATAAGGTACATCGGGACTACGGTACATCAGGACTACGGTACATTAGGATTACGACTATGGAGCCTAGCGGCACTCATTCGTGGTGCTCACAAAGTCATTGTCGGAAAAGTTGTCATACTTTGGGATTGGTGGCAGCTCGTTCTTGAGCGAGGCCTGTAGTCTGTAGCGTAGGAGGTAAGATGATGGTGTCGAAAGGTGACTCGGACACTCACCTAACTGTCTGCAGTAGTCCGGCCTCATCGACGCAGGGGGAGGTGTGGAGGAAAGCGCGCATAACGCGCTCGAGAGCTAAAGGTGTGGGGAGCCCTTGGCATTAGCCAGAGTGGGACGCGGAGCAAGGGGAAGCCGCCGGGAGGGCGGGACACCTGCTGCGCGGTTCGCTCACAAGCGGGCATGGCACGCAGTTAGACGCAAGCATGGGGGGTAAATCTACGCAGGTATGCTATGTCAATACAAACAAGACCACCGAGCTAGTGTGGTGCCAGGCGACGAGAGACAAAATTGGTGTACCCAAGCAAGCACAGAGCCGGGAAAGGGAAGGGAAGGGAAAGGAGGAGAGACAAGATACAAACGAGGGTGGGCAGGGCACGATCGAAAACCTAGAATACATGAGCGAGGAAGGAGGTGTCGTGGATGCTGCGCGACGCAAGGATGATGTGGGAGGAGACGAAAGAGCGAGACACCTGAAGTGAGGAAAATTGCTCACTCAGCCGGACACTGGGGCTGGCCTCTCCTGGCTGCGCGAGGGATCAACTGGCCCCCGGCACTAACTCCCGTTGCATGTCTATTTGAGCTGGTGAATGTTGTGCCGAGTAGCTGGCCCATTAGTGCAGCGAGTGAGGGGTGCTTCAAGTAGCACAGTCCACATACCGGACTTCGCAGCTCGACAGGTTTTGTTCTCTACTCCACATCATAATATGATCTCTTTTCATTCGAGAACACACATTGCACTGCGCAAAGATGGATAAGCAGCCAAATCACATGGGGGATTGTTCTGCCTATCTAACCCATCACATTGATGGCTACAGAGGCTTGCAGAGGTACACCCGTCCTACAGATGTCTCGCATAGGATGGATCTCCTATGCGAGACAGCTATAGATGGCGTGTCCTACCCAAGGCTACTGTAGAACCGCCGTTCTACCAGGGGGAATGCAGCTTTGCAGATGCAGCCTCCCCTAAACTTCCCCTGTATATAAACCTGCCTCTGCTGCCCTAGGGACCTCAGTTTCGACCTCTTGTCCCTAGGTCAGTAAGCCCCTGTACATACTTACCTTTCTATGCTAACTTACTTATCCCTAGCCTTAGGTTTGAGCCTCGCTCACCATCGCTTCGGTAAGATCCAGTCAAACACCCCCAGCGTCCTTGTTTGGTTTTCCCCAGTTGCTTGATCCTAAGTTGCGACAAAGCTCGAAGAAAGATACTGACGGGTGTGCTTCTTGTTTTATCAGGTCATCTTTCATGTCTGTCGCTTGTTGAATGCAAACGGGTTTTAGCCCGCACAAAATTGCTCACGATCCCCTGGAGACAAGGGGTCCCCAACATTATCACTTGGGGGAGGGGGGGTTGGCAGCTGGGTTTACAGCTACCATACACACTCCATCTGCGTCGTTGCTCAGAATCAAATACGGTCAGGGTCACCTATCATGCTTAGGTCGCATACCTGAGAGGAGGCAAGGTGCTATTCCACGGTCCTGCTAAGCTGTGCAAGTTTCTACAGATTATGCTCCACAAAGGCCAGTTATGCTCTCAGTACTATATAATTGTTTGGGAGGGGGGATGTGTGAGAACGACGCCGGAAAGACCGCCGGCAGCCAACGTCCTCGATGGACAGGGATCAATGGTGGATAAGGTTACAAACCGATGGGGCTACCTACGGCGCGCGACGCCTACATAAGTCCTATTCCCACACCGGCGCACGACCACGTGACCCGGGCCGGCAGCGACGCTTGCCCGACATACCCAAAAGTCAACAGGATGTTCTGATTCTCATCAGCGTCAAATTAGCAAATCCTTGCGAGAGTACGAATCCCGAGCAGCGCATTTAATGTTAATGACGGCATTCCTCTCGGTTTCACCCAAGATGCTTAATGACCAGCTGCATGTCTGCTAGCGTGGAGGTGTGCTGTATCCTACCTCCCGACATGTCGCAGCGATTGGGAGTATTTCAGGGTACCCACTTAATCTTGTGGCTGATAAGGCGACTTCGAAGATCGACTGTACAGCGCTCTTCATGCGTACCAACTACAAAGCCTTCCGCTACAATATGCGTGCAAAGGTTATATTCCGTGCATGGTTTGTCATCTTAGGCCCTCTCTTCTCGTACCTCAGGTGCCGCGTGCAGCTCGACGCGACCCACGAGAACTTTAAGAAAGAAACCGCTTGTTGAAGATACCCCATCCTGACCACCTGGAGAACCGGGAGCTTTGCCCTGTGTGTATCTATATGCCGTCTTCATAAATCACTATGGTGACAACTAGACAGGTGTACAAACACCATGCCATCACAGCGGATGAGCACCTCACATACTCGTGCACGTCAATGGGTTGTGCCATTCCACCTTCACTCATGACGGCCCCATGTTCATATCGCTTGCTCGGATGGCATGAGCCGAGCGCCAATATCCTATAATAATATGTCGAGCGGGCCAGAAATTTAGCAAGCGAACGTTCCATTGTCAGCATGCCATGCAGGAGCTGCTGCCTCACAATGAGGTGACTAATTTATACAGTATATTTCGACGTCATACGTCGTGGACGTTTCTCCTGCCTGGGGGAGGTTACGAGACAGGTGTTCATAGGTGACAGGCGAGCTTGTTGATTTTCCTGTTGATTATTTCGACCTTCCCCGTAAGAGGCGGTGCTTCTCTCCCTCATAGGATGAGCAAGGAGCTTGGTTTCCTTGCTATGGCTTTCAGAAGAAACAGGAAAGGGAATGCACCATTTGAATGATGCCAGCTCAGATGAAAACGTGCTTAATGACGCAAGCTCAGACGGCAACACCTACACCGCCGAGGAAGACGCTGATCGGGAAGCCAACATTCGCCAGTGGTGGACGACACGTGACAACTGTGACTGACTTCGTGGTCTCGTCAATGTGTCGCGGTGACGGCCCTGATGACAACTTAACAACACACAGAAAGATGTACCGTCGGGTTCGAAGGGACCCACGAGAACGAGAGCACCGACGTCGCCGTTTGAGGGCTCTATGCGCGGTGCGAGGATAAAGGATAGCGACTAGGGAGATCGAGCACGGCACGAGGCATCAGGGATCGTCGAGCGAGAACGTCTCGAGCGTGTCACCTCATTTCTGAGGGAAAATTGAGTAGCTACATCTCATGTATAGTACAGATCAATTCCAAACAATTTGGATGGACTATCTAGAAGGCCAGGGAACGTGAGCTCAAGCGATCCGAATTACAGACTGGGCGGTTGGACCATCGGCCCTCGGGGTAAGTCGCGCCTATCATCATTGGTAGGGTCGAGGCGGCAATCCCAACATATGGACGGCGCGGCTGGTTCGCTTGGATTGTTCGTGAGCCGTTCAGACGCCCAGTACGTGGGCTATTTGGAGTGCCAGGCTGAGCGAGAGCGCACGGCGATGTCATCATTCAACCTGTCCAGCGAGGAAGTGGTGGGGTATAAAGCGTTCAACTGATCGTGCAGGAACGCGTATCTGTCCACTATTAGATCAATCGAACCTAGACGTTACAGGGAAAATCTAGACTTACGACTGAGGGGATGCCCAAAAGGTGGAGGCGACAGTCTTAGTTAAGACATCAACTTACAGCATTGCTCTCATGGAATAGTTCCCACGAAGATGGTCCATCTGTCCGACTACCAGATCAATCAAACCTCAAGCTCATAAGAAATATCTGAACTTACGACTGGGAGGACGCCAAAATGATGAAAGCGACAGTCTTAAGACAGGAGTAGTGGCCTGTAGGCTGTGGTCAAGGAATCAACTTACAGCACTGCACTCATATAGAATAGGTCTCACGCCAGTGACAATCACAAACTACCAGGTCGACCACCAGAAGCTGCGCACTCAGTCGCAATTGCCCAAGAGCGGGTATATAAGTGCAGCGTCACAATTCGACTGAGCTGCCGCGCAGGGCTGTGCTGTTCCCATTCTCGTAGCACACCCGATCTAGCCGTGGAATGAATCAGGAAATCCATGTGCGAACAAGTAAATATGTCTCTCACCTAATCTTTACAGCCACCTACAGCTAGGTTGTAGATGCGACTGTTGACGATAACACGAGAAGGCATCTGAGTCGGTCGACTGGATGAGTCGAATCATGCGCATGGCCAAAAAACACTGACGAATTGTTCTGACTGTACAACATGTGGTTTGGGTGTCGCAGCAACACATCCTAAGCCTCATGTGAGATGAAGTACCAGACGCACATAAAACAACGTACCATCAGTTCGTGTTGAGATTGACGGGTACATCAAACGAGAAGACGTGTACTCCGCAAAAATCCTCAAAACATCGCCTGCCTTGTTTATGAGATATCTCGAATCACCTGGCTGGATAGCGCCACTTACGCACAGAAGACTGGGCAACAGTGGCTACCATTTCTGCAAAGCGGTATCAGCTGCCATGTCTGGTCATTACAGCAGAGAAATGAATTACGGGTCTGTCTGAAGTCTAGAGCCTGTCGCTGGTAGTTGCGGAATCGAGAGCTGGAGAAAATTTGTAGGAACAATCGACATCGAAGATTCCACAGATCGACCGCCGCTTCCTGTTGATCGCAGACAGGCAGATTGTCATACAAAAATCTGATGCCTTAGGGCTGGACCTACAATGTCTTCCGGTCAGTCACCAACATCGAATTGCTGCCGCTTGCACATACGGGTATATTGTCTCGTGAGTTCGCGTTGTATGATATGCTACTGATAGCAATTATGATGCAGCACAGCACATTTCCTCTAAGTATGCCAGGCATACCCGGATTTCAGAAGTGAAGTAAGCCAGAGCTTGATGTCTGGCAGTTACACCGCGTTGAGCCATATTGTGAGAGATTCGTTACTTGAGGAGCTAGAACTTGTGTGTGGACATTAGTAAACGGAGTAAGACGAGACAAGAATTGGACATACGCGATGTTCTCATTGGGAATACGGGGTGATGCACTGACACCTGGTAGACGTCGCGTGCTATCTCACAAATGCGACGCATGCAGTTGCATGCCGTCTCCGTGGCCGATAGCTCGAGAGCTACGGATATCATGGGGGAAGGCACTTGAATGAAGGGTCCAAGGCAGCGCAAAGCTGTTCAATACAAGTACACTTCCCGCCCCTTGCCGACAATTGCCACACACTGTCCATAGGTACATCTGGTTCATCCCATTTGCGCCTGTGGGTCAACATGATCTCATAAGCTCCAGTCGTGGAGGCGGGTCGACAAGGCTATCCAACATGGGTCGTTCTCCAACAGACCATGCTGGATGGTTAAGACCTTACGAGCATGTGCAAACCGTGGCAACATACGGTACGGGGCTAAGTGTCAAAACCTGGGACCGTGTCTGTATAGCGTGTCAGTTTGAATGAGGAACGTCAGTCAAATATTCGCTTGCAAATGTGGCAGAGAATGTACCTTGAGAGATAGCTTTCCACCAACCAAAGCTTTTGCACAACAGGCTGCACATTGCCAGCTTGCTCTTGTCGATAAGCGAGCATCTCTACGTCCTCAGGCTCCGCATGCGGTCCCATCGTCCACTCATCTCGAGCGTGATCGCATTCCAGACACCACTGACGAATGCTGACTTCCGGGTGAGCATCTCTGATGTGATCCTGGCTGCTCCAACTGGTGTCGCCAAAACGTCTCCTCTTTATCCCTGAGAGGATTGGCCGGAACTGACGACGAAAGCGGTCAGTGTCGTCATCCAACAGGGGAGAACAATACTGCGTTCTGTGGGGGCGGTAATAATTCTTAGGACAGGGTGAGAGCTCGCCCGTTGCCCACAGCCGTCTGTCGGGTACCAGTTCGCAAGTCAAGGGGGCCGTCCACGTCCCGTGCCATTGGATGATGGTGTATGCATGATTGACCTCAGTATGGGGAAGTAGATCCCGCAAGACATGTTGATAGTGCAGTGGTCGCTTGCTCAATTTCTGGCCTGCTCGGAATGTCATCAGATCGAGATTAGCAGAAAGCTCATGCCATCCGAGCGACCGATATGAGCAAGGAGCCGTCATGACGGAAGGTGTGATGATATTATTCATGGTTGTGCACGAGTCTGGAGGGTGCTCGTCCTCTGTGATGATGCAATATTTGTAGGCCTGCATCAATGTGAGCATTTGAATTGGCGAAGAGGGCACACAATACATACAGCGCAAGGCTCGAGATCCTGCAAATGATCAGGATGGGGTATCATCAATAAGCGATTTGTCTCCCAAAGTTCTCGGAGGTCACGTCGAACTGCATGCCGTAAGTAAGGCGGCAAAGGACAGAGAAAACGTCGAGAAACACGCACGGAAAATAAAATTCCCAGGTACGTGGCAGCGGAGGACGTTGTAGTCGTAATACATGTTGAACGTAATGTAGTCCATCTTCCGGTTCACCTCGTCAGCCACAGACGCCGAGATAATAGACCTGCTTACTTACTAATAGCTGAGGCATGTCGGGAGGCAGGATATAACACGCCTCCACATCAGCAGACACGCAGCCGGTGATCACGCATCTCGGGTGAGGTCCGAAAGGAACACCGTCCTCAACCTTAGATGTCTCACTTGTAGGGTCCGACATTCGCATTCTCTTGGCAGGGACTTCATCGGTCTCTGTTTCCGGGCTCCGTTTCCGCTTCGGCAGGCGGGAGATGCCTTCGACTAGCGAGTCGCGTTTGATATGGGAGAAGACCGGCTCGACCACATCTGGGTAGACGGGCGTGATGGTAGGTATATGCGCAAGAGCGTCCTTAGATAGATGATGCTCGTAGTGGGGCGGTCGCTTCATGAACTCACGGCCCACTCGAATTGTCATTAAATGCAGATTCGCACTCAGGTCGTGCCACCCCAGCGAGCGATACGAGCTACGAGCCGTTGCGAGTGGGGGTGTAATGGTATAACCTTCGGGGATGCACAAGCCTGAAGGGTGCTCATCTTCTGCAATGACGTAGTAGTTGTAGGCCTACTTGACGGTGAGTGCAGCGACCATTTGAAAGGGCGTACGATACATACAGGGCGGGTATCGGGGTGGTCTAGATGGTCGGGATGGGGTATCATCAACAGGCGATTCGTTTCCCATAGTATGCGGAGGTCACGTCGAACTGCATGAGGGTTGTAAGAGAAGGCAGAAAGGGCTAGATATGAGCAAGTACCCACGGAATATGATGTTTGCGGGCGCGCTACAATAGGCGGGACTAATGTCATTAGGCGTGCGGAGATCACCCTACAAAGCTGCCTTAGCCGCGACGTCGAAGCAGTAATCACCCTACTCACCAACGGCTGAGGCATATCGGGAGGCAGGATATAGCACGCCTCCACCTGAGCGGAGGCGCAACCCGTGATCATGCATCTAGGGTGAGGTCCGAAAGGAACCCCATCTTTGAGCTTTGACGCGTCGCTCGGACTGTCAGACAACCGCCTTCTCTTAACACGGACCTCGTCGGCCGTCGTGTCTGCACACCGTTTTCGCTTCGGCGGGCGAGTGATAGCTTCAGGCGGGGCGTATAGGTCAATGTGGGGAGAGACTGGGTGAACACCCTCCGCTTCGGCGACCCTGATCTTCGTGCAGTCGTGGATGGGTATATGCCCAAGTTCGAATGAGGCGCTGTCCTCAATGTTGGCGACGCCGCTCGAGATATCAGACGTCTGCGCCCTCTTTGCGCAAGCATCATCAGTGCTCATGTCCACAAGTCGCTTTCGTTTCAACGGACGGAAGACGTGTTCAAGAGACGGGTGCACCGCATCCGAGTCGGGCTTGACGTCCCTGGCACTTGTGCAGTCGCCGATGCGTATATGCTCAAGACAGAATGAGGTGTCATAATCCGCCTTGGTCGCGTCACTCAATATGTCAGGCGGCAGCACTCTCTCTGCGCGCAATTCATCAGCCCTTATGTCCGCCAGCCGTCTCCGTTTCAGCGGACGCGTGATGTCTTCTGGTGGCGAGGGGTCCGCGTCTGGTTCGACAATCTTGATATCCGTGCGATCGCCAGTGGGTGTATGCTTAGAATTGTCATCAAAAGAGATAGATGGTGCACGGCTGAGTCCAGAGACAGGTGTAGCCGGTGGAGAGCTTTCGCGTGAAGAGGAGCTGCCAGTGTCGTCCGAAAGCGCAGGAGTATTTTCGCGTGGGGGGTGCTCAGCAGCGAGCATATAGAACATGTCAGGAATAAGGATGTTAAGGCCATTCATTTTTGTGTCGACTACAACGCGAGTTCAGCGAGGTAGTGACGATGGTGTAGCGCGAACAGCGCGCGCCACCGGTGCCCTTAGCGGGTGCTTAGTCAGCGCTGCTCTCGGAGAACCCCGAGGCCAGTCACGTCTTGATTGGTGTAGTCGATCTACTGTGCAGTGCATTTGGGCTTACTCGAGTGCGCACACCACTTCTATGTAGTCGTATAGGTCTTTGTGAGCCTTCTGAGCTCCCTCAATCCTGTGAGACACCGAACCCAGCATTTTTGATTGCTTCATGCCAGAACACGTTTCAAGCCTCCTGTGTGAGGACCGCACAGTTGGCATGCATGTCGGGTGCGTTTGTTTGTCTCTGCGGTCTGGTTGTACTTCAGAAATGCTCGCATTCGACTGCTGCAGAGACGTAAGTCTTCCCTGTCACGGGACACTGCGTCATCGTCCCTCTATTCTGAGATTGAGTTTCCCGCATGAATGTCCTTTACGGGCACATTCACATTGACCGAGAGTGCCGCAAAGTGCTGCGATAGCCGCTTTCTCATTATATACTATGACGCACCACCTTGGGAACTAATACCCAGTGGACAGTGCGTCGATACGTCGAACGTTGACAGCGCAAGGACATTCCTATCTGACCTCCCATATCAGAATCCATCTGGATCTGTTTAATTATGAGGCTTGATCTTGTACATGACGTAGGTACAAGCCTTCTATATGCGTCATTCTGTGTGGGAGAGGCTTGTATCCCTCGGCAGACAGGGGCGGTGTGCCGTGCCAATTCCAGCTTTCTTTTGCAATCTCAATGAGTCAATAACTGTAGCTTTGTCGTCGATATCATGATATACTCTTCTCTGAGCGGTTCTATTCACTGTCAGGCGGTTGATCTTTTTGCGAGGAGAACATGGTTTTGAGGCGAACAGACAGATGTCACCTGGGAATGCTTCGCGCCAGTGGGGTCGTTCAACATGACCTAGGTGAGTTTCGTGTATTCTCGTTGAGCCTTCCGCAGACTGACTGTGCGATTCCGATTCAGCAAATGACAAGCGTGCTTCCATATGCGACCTTGACAGTGTGTCTCTCCGATCAGTGGGGCACGGTTCCCGCGCCTCAGACGGCGCATCTGATATCACAATTACAAGGACTCATCTCGCACAGACCATGCAGATTAGGCAATATGCGGGAGGACACCAGTCACCCGCGTCGACGATGGCCACAAGATCCAAATTGGAATACAATGGCCTCTGTGGCCTGTGGTCACGCGCTACACAGTATAATATGAACTCAGCCAAAGCTGCTCGAGCCACTCACACTCTCCACCTCTTTCTTCACCTCCAACCTCCACTTCACCTCCAAATGCCCTCGCCATGGTTAACGGCTTCAAACCGAGACGATCTAATAGACTGAAACATTTGCCGAAAGGTATGGGTCCTCGTCGTTACCTTTGACGGCTTTGCCCTGACGGTGGCCCGTACACAGTTGATTACTGCGAGAACAAGACGGCGGATGGAAAACGAAAAAGGGGAGCATTAGACGACGAAGACGAGTATACGCCGTCCCGCGAAGGCACGCCGGAGAACCAGAAGACTGCAACACACGCGCCGGAGAATCAGAGGAGTCCA